CCGTGCTGAAAAGAAGAAGGCAACAGTGACGAAGGTGCAATGGTGACCCAACCCCGCCCATGCAATAGCGCGAACTGTTTCTTCGGAAAAGTGGAGCAGACAGCTTACCGTTGGGGAAAGTCCTTGCTGCGACCCCTTCTCCCTCGAAATTTCCTCCTCTAGTACTCTATAGTGCGATCGGTCTTCTCCAAACCACCACCTTACCTACCATTTTTGCAAGCTCTCCCAGACCCTACTTCTTTTCCAGAGTTTTTCTTTCTTAAAATTCCATGCTGGAAAAACTTGACTGGAAAAAGCGAGAAAAGTCAGCCGAAAATAGTTTTATTGAAGTAGAAAATCCCCCTCCCCGTCTGATGAACATCCTCAACGTATGACAAGTTTCATCTTTTGGTCTAGGCTCTGATGACCGTTATTAGAACCCTCTAATAAAATTTTTTGCAGATATGTCGTTAGGCACATGTCAAGAGTTCATAGTAAAGAAAAAGAAGACAAGAAACCATTGGAATGTTCCATATGCGGCAAGGTGAGGCGAAGTAAGCCCCCATATCGAATTAGTTATTGTCAGAATGACTAGAGTGGAGTTTAAGCCGTGGTTTGAATGTGAACTCTTACAGAATTTCCCCAGGCTGTCTCACCTTCAACGTCACCAGCTGATCCACATTAAAGAACGTGAATGGGGATGCCCGTTTTGTGAACAGAGTTTCGTTCAGAAGGTGGGGGTTTGTAGTTCATTAATCAAAGTAGGCCTAGAGCGACCAAGAGCCAACCTTTGGCGTTGGTCAATTGCTAAAATGAATCACTGTGAATGTGGGCGCTGTTTGTCAACGGGGGGGGGGGGAGCATTTGCACTTTAACGACTTCCCATCGACGTGTCGACCCATCTAGACAGCCTCGAGTTGACAGGTTTTACCATGATGGCTTGACGAGCTTGCTCCAGCTTCACAAGAGTTCACAGGTTTCACCAGAGTGAGACTTGTAAACCAGAACTAGTGAAGCAACGAAAGTGCAAAATGCCCCCCCCCCCGTCAGCATACTGCGCCGTGAATGTGTCCTTGTCAATGAGTTAAACCAGTACATTTCAGCCCCACTTGATGCGCCATATTGGACGCTGCCATGCGTCACAGTATCGGGACGGATTACAGGAAAAGGTTGCTGCCAACAAATGGAGAACTGAAGCCAGTCAGTGTACATCTGTGAAGAATCTCTATAGAATCCCCTAGAATGTTATGAGACATCCCAGTGAGGGTCAGTTGGATTCCCACCATCTAAGAATAGGTTCTGTGATCAGTAGGAGGTCCGATTACCGCACTGACAGAAGAGAGACCTTCGGCTTTTCCAGCTGGCTTTCCGTTGTCTGCACAGCCATGTATTTAGAACCAGCTGGTGACGTCAGCGATCACTGCTGACCTAAAACTTTGGCCGTCTCCCCTTTGTTGTAGTGATAGTCCGCTATGAGATGTCACATTGCTATTTCACTGTTATACCCTCTCTTGAATGGTTTTGCATTAACTTCCGATTTCCGGTTTTAATGGAGTTATCTTTGTACGATTTCAGCGAAGCTAGTCTTCTGTTAGATTGATGTTGAATTCACGAGTCAGTCGGTCGCTTATCATGTATTATTTCAGCTTTTCTCTACTGCTTTTAGAACCGATAGATGTGGAGGTGCCCAAAAAATTCGACACAAACACTCCATCTGTACAGCAATGTAGCGATCTTATTCCACGAATGCTCTGTGTCCGCTGCGGTTCAACGTTTGACAATCGAACGGACCTCGATCGCCATGTTACGGTAATGAGCTCCTCGTATAGGTGATATCGTCGCAATTAGACGATATAGCTCGGTGTTAAGAGAGGTAGTGGAACTGAGCCCACTCATCCCTTTCTGCAACGGCCGCTCCCTTTTTCAGTCACTCACGCTCTGCTCTCTCTCTCCTCAGCATCGATCGCTAACCGATGCCACTTACTCCGGAGGGGAAAGGCATCTCGAGCGATGTTCGTCATGATTCCGCGTGCTTTTGACAGTGTGTGTGGTGAGTGGATGAATGTAGCTGCTTGTTTGCTTGATTGTTTGGGCGATATTCATACCTGTATTACTTCTCGAGCTTCGCCGGATCGGGCGAGGCGTTACGTACGAGACGCGTTTTGAGATTCAGCAAGCAGTGTAAGGACTAATGATAAGATGCTTCCAGGTGCATCATGCTCGAGATTCTCAGAAACTGGCGTTGACACTCTTTTATCGTACAGTGCAGGTTGGAATGCCGTGCTTCTTCTGTTGGGGGATTGCTGAGGAAGAAGTGATAAATTGACTCACGTCTCTCCTGCTTCGGTCTCTTCCTGGGTGGGAAGCGCGTGAAAACAGCATAAAATTTCAAGTACTGCTCTTATTTTCGAATAAATCATTCAAAGTTTTAACAGTCGTAGTCTGGCAAATAAATCAGCTAGATATCCGAATTACTCAAGGTCTCCTTTCTCAGACTGTAGGGGACATGGGCGCACCAATGGAGAAGGAACAATGGTGTCTGTACACCTGCTCATGACGGCCGTGCGTTGGGGATCTGACCTTGGAGACCATGCTCGCCGGACACTCATCGTCCAAGTACGGGGGGTGATTCCGTATGGTCGGTGATGTAGTGGGTCCGCAGTGAAGTTTAAGCGGTGCAGGCGGTGTATCCGGGTCGCGATACGAGTTGCCCGGGTGGTGTGTTGTCTCTGTTGTGGACAGAAGAGAAGAATATAGCCGTTTTCTTCTCATTCGTTTTGCTCGTTTCGCCCGCTATACCTCGAGGCGGAGCACTTGCGTCAATACCGAAATCTCGCAGCCTACAGTCAGAGGGAGAGAACATCCAGTAGTGAGAAGGTGCAGATTAGTTGCGCATTTGGTTATGCTAAGGCGTGCAGCTTCCCGTGCGAAGGCGCCCGTAGAGTAGGAGAAGCACGTCTCCATCAGGGTATAACCAAGGTGACCTCTACTTCATATGACGCTCGTCGGAATGTATCTGGCCCCTCTTTGGAACCACAGATTGTTATTGCGCACACACCTGCTTTCAGTGGTGATAGTAGACTTTTCCAGAACACCCACCGTTCACTGAAGTGCAAACATTGTGGTGAGATCTTTGATGGATATGCGAGTCTCAGATCGCATGAATTGCGGCAACGTGCTCACTCGTATGTCTGCTCATGTGGCGCGTCGTTTTCACGACAGTCCGAATTACGGTAAGTACAGAATGACACCGTAATGGTAGCTAGAAAATATTCTATGAGTAGGACTCCCTGACAAACGCAGCTTTAGTCATACTGTAATCTCAGAAATGTGTATTACCTGTGTGTTGCGGAGCTGCTTCCTGTGCATCCAGTGGGCACGATTGGTGGGGGCGGGCGCTCTTTGCCAACGTCACTGGTGGAAGGGCTAAAAGGGATATGGTAGAATGCCCTCTCATAGTCATCCCACCAATGGCGCTGGCAACAACCGCCCGCGTCCAGTAATCGTGCCCACTGCCTTCGGAGACTATAGTATACTTCAGACAGCTACAACTAGTGCACGCTCGCGAGCCTACGAGTGTTGCTGCTGTCGCACTTGGCCGTGGCTTTCTTTGAGTAATCGGATGGGGGAGACTCCGGCGCAGTTTGATGGGGGATGAGGGGGGGGACTAAATGGTACTCACCAAGGCTTGTACAGGTCCCGCTGTGAAGACCTGTTAAAGTTTCGTAACTCTGCAAGAGCTTAAATGTCTTACCAGTGTAAGCCGCCGGGGCTCAGAACCTCTGAATGTTCCTTGTGCTTCTTAGATACAACAAGTAGGAGTGGTGTGATAATGACAGGAGCAAAGTGGTTGTCCGTCTCCCCCCATCGTTTAGCGTCGAATGTCCCTTCAAAAGTGATAAAAGTGAATGAATGGTTCTGACGTGCGCGGTCGCGTAATGTCTAAATTTATGTGATAAGTACCATTTTTGAGATGCGCGTCCAGTTTCATGCATATTGTGTATGGATAGTGCGGTGACCTCCTGAAACTAATAAGTTTTTATGTTCTACCAGTCCCGCGACGCGACCGCGCGCGCCTGTTCTTGTGGACTTGACTAGTCAGTTTGGTTGGAAGGCATGCGTCAGGGCGTTCGTCAACAAAATACTGTGAGAGTGCTATGCTCGAGAGCAACTCGAATTGCATCGTCTTGCATTTTTTCGGAATTCTTTAGAATTTCCCAAATTCGAAGACACACTTCGTGACTTGGGTGGATAGTTGGGCGAAGACTCACAACCAGTGTGCTTTCTTTATTGGTGTTCCCCAATACTTGCAAGGCGAGGATGAGAGAGTTGCTAGTTGCTTATTGTGGAATGCTTTTCCATGAGGATTACTGTTCAGCGCTCACCGAGATTCATGTCGCAAACGAGGTTCATTCTTATGTGTTGCATGCGAACGGTTGTTCACTCAGCGTGTGCAGGTGAGTCATTCAGTC